GCTTGCGCTCGAATGTAGAACTCCACATTGCGCTTTCTTTCTCTCGGGCACACCTCGTGAGTCGTGATTTTTGTACTTCTACACTTCTCCCACATTTTGCAGGTGATTTTTTCCCTTTCTGTTCTATTTTTTTCTATGAATCTGTTGAATGTTAAGCCCTTTTTTTTTTTATATTTTTTTTTATCTTTTGATTATTCTTTGTACGGGAGAATTATTTCGGAACAGTGTATGCAGTTTTGCTTCAATTTCGTTGATTTGATTTCTATAGTGTTTTGGTCCTGCAATTTCACTGCTTTCAATTTCACTTGCTTCATGAATTTTGGCTGCAGTTAATTTTAACATTTATGCATTTATTGAAAATATATTTTCATATTTTTGAAATTTTAACATTTATGCATTTATTAAAAATATATTTGAAATATATATAGATACATATTTTTTTTGTTTATTTTCTAGTGTATATTGTTCAGAGTAAAATTTTACTTCCAATCAGAGTAAAATTTTACTTGCAATGAGAGTGAAGTTTTACTTCTAAACTGAGTAAAATTTTACTTTAAAACTTTGCTGTTTCATTACAATGTTTTGTGCATTTTTATGGTTTCATCAATGCCTCTTGATTTCTTGCTGTACGTGTTCTTTAGCCTTTGCTCATTACATAAATGTGCATATCAATTTGTATATGAATATATATATATATATATATCTATTTATGTATGTGAATGTGATTGTAGTTTCATCATTTCTCTGATTTCAGTTTGAATATGAATTGTACATGTTAATTTCAGAATTGTGTTGCGTATAGTCAAAATTGAGACAAGGTTTTCTTGATTCTTGGTTCTAAAAATGTTGGTGTTTTTTGTTTTATTTCCTAGGGTATATAGTTCAGAGTAAAATTTTACTTCCAATCTTTCAATGAAAGTAAAGTTTTACCGCCAAACATAATAAAATTTTACTTTCAGAGTAAAACTTTACTGTTTCATTACAATGTTTGTGCATTTTCTTTGGTACTTACTGTTTTGTCACTTTATTGTTTAAAGTAAAATGTTACATTGTTGATATAGGGAAACTTTTTAGTGTTATAAAATGGTTGTTACTAGAAGCAAATGTGGAGATGGTGGTGATGATGATTTTGAAGTTCTATTTACAGCTATACAAAAGAAGAAACTCTCTGGAAAAAAAAAGAGCAAAAGCAGTAAAAAAATCCACGATCAACGTGGAAAATGCACTTGATGATAATTTTGTGCTTGCATCAACAAGATTGAGGAAGGGCTTCGCTAGTGATGATGAAGGCTCTAATGAAAGTAATCCAATGCCTTCAACAACAAAACCTTCGAAGTCGAATATTGTACATGGAGTATGAGAGAGGGAGAACTATGTGAAACAACATAGGTCAAATGTTGTTTCATCGATAAAACTAACGCGAGACACAAGGTTCACTGAAAGATACATTACTGCCCTCAAGAGAACACCTTTTGGGATGTTATTCAAATCTTTTTGGAAGAAAGAAGATGCGGTGTTGAAAAAGTTCAAGAAAGTTGATAATAATGTCATGGATGTGATCAAGTCTTATGACTTTCATGCAAAGGGATTCAAGCTTGGAGGGAAAGCGTGTGACATATGGGATAGTGACGTTGCTTTGATTTTTGGGATAAAATCGAGAACAGAAAAAGTAGACTTCTCATATGGGAAGAAACAAGAATCACCTTTTGTGCACAAAAGGTTTCGTAATATGTCAAGAATATCTATAAAGAGTTTGGGAGAGGCATTAGAAAATGCATTGGAGGCACAACGACAGTTGATGTTGAGGATGTTGCACGAATAAACAAAAGTAACCTATGGTGACGAAAAATAGTGAGGAAAATAAATTTCATCACTAAATAAGAATAATCCGTGATGAATTATAAAATTTTGTCACATATAATAAAAAAATAAAAATAATAGGTGACGAAATTTATTTTTGTCAACAAATACTTCTTTTTAGGTGAGAAGAAATTAAGTTTTGTCACCAAAAGTTTTCCCGCTAATTTTTTTTGGTGGCGCCAAAATTTTGAGATTTTGGTGAGAAAAAATTGTCACCAATTATAAAATTATTAGTGAGGAATATATTTTCATCACCAATAATTTTGTGTATACTTTTTTTGAGAAACTAGATTTTAAATATTTTAAGACCATTTGGTGAGAAATATATTTTTGTCCGTAATAAATTTTAATATTTTGAGACATTTTAGTGAGGAAATATTTTGTCACTAATTTTGGAGGAAAAATTTTGACATATTGGGCGGTAATGGATAAAAATAGACTACTAACTTTTTTTTCCCTTTTATTTTTGTTTATCAATTTTCCTCTCTCCCTCTCTCTCTCTCTCTCTCTCTCTCTCTCTCTCTTTCTCTCTCTCTCAAAACAAAACACAAGTTAATTAGCTCTCTGAGTAACCTATGGTAACAAAAAGTAGCGAAGAAAATAAATTTTGTCACTAAATAAGAATAATCCGTGATGAATTATAAAATTGTTACATATAATAAAAAAGTAAAAATAATAGATGACGAAATTTATTTTCATCAATAAATATTTCTTTTTAGGGTTGGTTTGGGGTGTCCTAAAAAAGTACACTTTTTGTCTTTTTACGAAAAGATGTGCAGAAAAGTAGAAAGGTGATGTGATGAAAAAAAGATAAAAAGATGGATTATATAGGTTATGCCAAACCAACCCTAAATTTCGTCACCAAAGATTTTTCCTCTAATTTTTTTTTTGGTAGCACCAAAATTTTGAGACTTTTAGTGAGAAAAAAATATGTCACCAATTATAAAATTATTAATGAGGAATATATTTTCATTACTAATAATTTCAAATATTTTTTTCAAAAAAATTAATTTTAAATATTTTGAAACTATTTGATGAGAAATATATTTTCATTGTCAATAATTTTAATATTTTAAAATTTTTAGTGACAAAGTTATTTTATCACCAATTTTAAAGGGAGAACTTTGAGATTTTGGCAATAATAAAAAAAGGGAGGTTTTTTTTTTAAGGTCTCTGATATTAAGATTTTATAGCATAAAGGACATTCAATATTTTCATAATGTCTAAGGTCCCTCAACAATATTTTTATAATGTCTAAGGTCCCTCAACCTTGATCCAGAGAAATTTTAGTCCAGAGAAATTTCAATCCAGAGAAAATTGATCCAGAGAAATTCTGGCCCAGAGAAATTTCTCTGGACTAAATTTCTCTGGATGAGTTTCTCTACTTTTCTTCTCATTTCCCCTAATTTCTCTCATTTTTAGCAATCAAATATTCTTTTCTTCCGAAATCACCCAATCCATGTAAAAGATACACGAGCATTTTGGGGGGATAAAAAACACAACCAGTATAATAATAGATAAGTTGAGCCAATCGAGCCAATAATGGTCGATCAAAATTGATTTAAGAATTAAAAAGCGTGAAATAAGTGTTTCGTTGATGAATAGAGTTGCAATGAAAGATCAGATAAGAGCATTACTTGAAGCATACATTGTTACACAAATAGCAGAGACTATGATAGTGTATTATTCTCAGAATTTCTTTGGCCCAATTCTTCCTAGAATTTCTCAGCATTTCTCTAATGCATTGGCTGAGTCCAGAGAAATTTTGAATTTCTCTGGTCCAATTCTTCTCAGAATTTTTCTGGTCCAATCCTTCTTAGAATTTCTCTGATGCATTGACTGACTGGAGGAGTGGTTGATGAAGAAAATTCAATCCAGAGAATTTCTCTCCAGAGAAATTCTGAATTTCTCCGGATTCTCTGTCTGTGTTTTAACCAAATTTCTCTGGACTTCAGAATTTCTCTCCAGATAAATTCTTATACCAAGGGTAATCTGATACTAAAATCATGACTGTAGTTAAAGAAATGGTCTTTAACTTACATCCAAGGCTTCTAGATCTCAAATGAAAAAAAAAAAAAAATCAGTTCACAATTTGGAATTTTTTCTATTCAACTAATTGTCCCTCACCTGGACGAAATTCTTGAAAATTTCGAAGCAAAGTTGGAGCACAACACTGAAAAATGAATCAACTTCACAAAAATGGTCTTTGGCTCATCCCAGCTGCTAAATCTTTAGTGTGTAAATCCTCCACAATAACGTTTGAAATCCCACTGGACATTTCACTGCCTATTCCAACCCCAGAACATGTTGGAGTTGTGCCTGAGAGTGAGACTCTTGAAGCAACCTATTCCAACCCCATAATCATAAATCTGATGCAACTCCAATAAAGAGATTATGTTGAAAATGTTCTGATTTTGGAAACTCCACAATAATGTTCAACTCCAAAATCATTTTTCTGGACACCATCGGTATTTGGATTTTGGAAACTCCACAATAATGTTCAACTCCAGGTAGGTTGCTTCATTTTTCTGGTTTTCAAGTATAGACCCAGGTAGGTTGCTTCAATCTCTATACCATAAGTATTTGGAGCATTGAGAAGAAGACGAATCGGAAGAACTAGATACTGATACTGATGATCAACAACAACATCAACAACAATTTGAAGAAGAAGAAGAAGCAGATGGGGGTTCGTGGGTCTGGACGTGTTTGAGCAAGAGTACTGGTACAATTGAAACCCCAAGGTTTCCCTTTATGATTGCACTTGGGGCTGCTTAGGGACACAGATTTTCTAATCCGAATGTTGTCGATCGTAGTTCTTATAAGAGTATGGGGGTGAGGGACCTTAGACTACAAAAGAACATATTGTGAACCTAATCCATTACTAAAAGTTGGATAGGGACCTTAGATCAATTTTCCTTAAAAAAAGAACCCTACTAAATCCCTCCAAACCCTTTCTTTTTTTTGGTGCTTCAGTTTTTCTCTCATCTCTCTTTTGCAAAACAAACATTATCTGCCTTCAGCCCCGCCTTTCCTCCTTTAGTGCTGCCACCGACGTTATCCGTTCTCCTCATTCAGTGCAGCCATAGGTAGGATTGGGCAGCGGATGTGCTGACCCGACAGACCCAACCCAACATGTTTTGAGTAGATGCATGACACGTGACGGGCAGATACGGGTTCAAAATTTTTAATTTCACATGTTTGGATCAGGTCGCGGATTATCCGCTAATTTCAATCTCGTACCTGACCGCCCTTTCTTTTTCCCTTCACCTATTTCCCTCCCTTTTCCCTATGTCTCCCCCCATTTTTCCATTTCATGTTTTTCTTGCCCTAGGTTCTTTCTTCGACGACTCTCTCTCTCTCTCTCTCTCTCTCTCTTTCTCTCACTTAAACAGCGGCAAGCGACGATCGGAGATCGGTGACAGTGAAGGTGAGCAGCGATCGAAGCCTCAATTGGAAGGTATTCTTCACTTCTCTTCTTTGCTCTTCGCTTCTCTTCTCCTTCTCTTCTTCTCTTCTGAACCCGTGTTCTGTGTTCTCAACCTTCTCTTCTTCTCTTTTCCTCCTATTCTTCTCTTTTGAGCCTGTGTTCTGTGTGCTCGACCTAATCACAAATTCCTTTTTGATGGAGTGGGTACGCGATTGATAAAACTATTTGTAAGCTAATTGATAAAACTAGCAATTGAAAGCAATTGATAAACTTATTTTTAGAATCTGATTTTGCAGATTTTAGTTCTAATTCTTTACTCATTGATTTGGGGTTTTTACAAATTAAGCTAATCTTCTTTCATTTGTGGGTTTATTTGATTTGGGGTTTTGTGATGATTTATGGGTTTTTCATTTGTTAATTTGTTGGTATAAGAGCTAGGATTTTGAATTTTCTGGGTTATTTGTATGAATTGCTGGTTGTTCAAGTAAATTTTTTTGTCCAATGCAATATACTTGTTTTTTTGGGATTAATAGGAGTTAACGCTCTTTTCTTTTCTCCTCTTCTTCTTCTTCTTCTTCTTCATCTTTTGTGTGTGTGTGTTTTGTTTCCAACCTGATAATTAAAAAGTTAATGACTTGATGTCAATGTGAACATAGAAATTTGTTACTAAGAAACTGTGAATATATCATTGTCAATAACTTGTAATTTAACTTCAAATTTTTAACTTCAGATTTGTTGTTAACTTGTGATTTAACTTCTGATTACAATTTGAATGTTAGAAACACAAAGCTCAAAATAATTTCAGATATAAATAATTTCATAAATGTTGAGCCTGAATTAAAACAGTGAAGAACTACTTGAACATTAAGTCAAAAAATGGCCCAAAATAGTTTAAATTAGAAAATATTAACTAGCTCCTCAAATCCTAGAATTAGAATCTTTTAAGTGATCATGATTGATGTTTCTGGAATGCTTGGAAGGAGACAAAAGTTAACAACTAGTAAAAAGGGGTTGATATATTTCCTCGACTCCATGTACCTCCACAGTTTAATATCCTGAATCTCATGACATATTTATGTGTGTTCTGTTCAGGGCTTACTTTTATTTTATTTGTTTTCCCTTTCATTTATTGATTCTAATATTTTATAATTTTCTTTTTTAGGCTGATGATTGTCATGCCTATCAACTCCTGAAGAAAGGTGGGCTTAAAGATGAAAACATCATTGTTTTCATGTATGATGACATTGCTCAAAATGAAGAGAACCCCAGGCCTGGAATCATAATCAACAGTTCCCATGGTGATGATGTATACAAAGGAGTGCCAAAGGTCTGTGTCCTTTTTGTGCATTAGGTCAATTTTAAATTAATGAAATTGTATTCTTTCTTTCTCATTTGGTGGGTTTTTGTTTGAGCAGGATTATACTGGGGAAAATGTCACTGTTAACAACTTTTCTGTTATCCTTGGAAATAAGACTGCTCTTACAGGGGGGAAGTGGAAAGATTGAGGATAGTGGTCCAAATGACCATATTTTCATATTTTACAGTGATCATGGGGGTCCTGGGGTGCTTGGTGAGTAAGCACTCTCTCTCTTCCTCTCTCTCTCTTGAGCATTCCGTCTACATTTTGTTGGTTGCTTGGATTGACTATCTTGAGCATTCGTTTGTATCTATATTTGACAAAATAAGGAACCAAAAAAATATACTGTGGACTTCCTGTATGTTAGAAGAGAGGATCCTTTAGCAACTTGGTCTATCACCAATTCAAAAAAATCTCTATCTGGATGATTTTGGAATTTTACGGTGAGGAACTCTATATTTAATATATTTTGGTGCATTTCTAATATATTTATCATGGAAAGGCCAAACAAAGGGGGTTATATCTCTGATCTAGGTGTATGGAATTTAGGTGATTAAGAGATTTCTGAAGCCTCAATCCAAAATCTTCTCTTGTGCTCTATTTTGATATTAAACTTCATATAAAATAGAAAAGGGTAAAGTTGGTTTCTAGACTTTAGATTCATGAAAGTGTGCGAAAGGGAGGATACTTACCTAGCCACTCTTATAGGAAATGAAAATGTTCGGGAGGCCCTTGTTCAAAAGGAAATAGCCGATTTACATTTATTGACTTAGTTCTTGGATGTCTTGCGACTGCAATTTACAAATATGGTAATAATTTGTTTACTTGAAATTTTTCTCTTCCCGTAGAATATACAGTCTAGGCTCAAATTTTGATACGTAGACATTAAAATTAGAATGGGGAAAATACTATTCAAACTCACAGATGTGGCTTGCAGAAAGGGAACTTGAAATAGGACCCACTGAAGTTATATGATTGGAATAACTCATGTAAGTGAGAAAAGTTTATGATATTTGTTAGCTTGTATATCACTACTGTTAGAATAAAGCTGCTTAATTCTCCTCAGCCCTCTCCCCTCTCCCCTCTCCTTCGCTTGCCTGCTCTCCCTAAACCCACTATCTTTTCCAAAGTAATAAATTTAATTTTTTTTTTTCATTTTAAATCATAAACCTAATGTTTTGGTCAATACCCCATGTGTTTTTCTTGGCAAGTAGAAGTAATTTAAAAAAAAGCATAGGAAGCAATGTTGACCACACCTGGCAGAAGGTCCAATTTGGGCTTTGAGGTCTTCACAGTATGTCAACCTAAAATATCTATATGTTTTTATTTTCACATATTGGTATACTTCTCTGTTGATACACTGGAAAATAACCATTGGGAAACAGAGATTTTGTCTATTCTATTTTATGTGATTTGTCATTATGACTCTTATTTTAAGACATTGTGCTTTTGGATAATTATCAACCCCCTGCTACTACCACAGTTTTGTATTAACTTTGATGAACATTCTTTAATTAGTCCTTATATGCGGCGGCATACAAGTTGATTTTCATCTGGACGGATTCATAGATTCACATCATGTCATTCATTCACGCTATTTCACCTTATGAGAAAATCAAATATTGATTTTTATTTGGATGGATTCATTCACTCTTTTTAATTAAAATATTTATTTTGTGTTTTTTTATATATAAAATTTGTCCAATTCACCTAACTTTAATTAACTCGGCATAGGCAGACATGGACAAGAGTTGGATTGTACTAGGTAGCACAGTTGATGGAAGTATAAGTCGGGCATATTATGATGGGGTAATATCAATTCTTCGTTTTGCAATGGCGGTTATTTATACAATGTAATTGATAACATGTTAATGTTTTTCTTGTTTATTTTTTTTGCAGATTGGTTTTTGATGACGTTTGGAAGCATACTTGCAAATCAAGATTGAATTTTTTTTCCCCTTGAACTGATACTTAGTTGTAGTTGCAAATCAAGATTGAGTGTTGATTTAAAGTTGTTTGATGAATATATTTTGATTTATAATATAAATTGTTTAGTGAATTTTTTTGTAGAGTGGTGTATAATAATTAGTGGATTTTTTTAGTACAATTAAAAGGTTATTGGGATATGAGCAGGGATATTTGTGAAATAATCATTTAAATTGAAATATAAAATATAGAATAAGTTTAGTGACGAATTTGTTTTGTCATTTGTACTTGTTATTATGACGAAGTGATTATTAGTCGCTAATAAATATTTTTGTGACAAAATCTATTGCAGCTTATATATGAAAGTTTTCATTGATTTTGTTGTTTGGTGTCTAAAAATTTCGTCACATATATATATATTTTTTCGACGAAATATATTTCGCCACCCATGTATGACTTTTGGAGGCAAAAAATTTCGTCAACTTTATATTTTATTGTGACGAAATTATTTTTTCATCAATAATTAACAAGCGTGACAAATTTATTCGTCAATTAAAGTTATAAATATGGTACTGCATAATTATTTGGTGACAAAAATAAAGATTTTTTGCGACAAAATATTGTTTTATTGGTGACAAAAAGTTTCGTCACTGAAGTAATTTCATTGGTGACGAAATTATTTTTCGTCATGATGGTTTTTAGTGACAAACATTCAATGATGAAACCGGAGAGGAAAATATTTCCCCATAAATATCTATAGTGACGAAATTAGCTCTTTGGAGACAAAAAAATTTCGTCATTCAAGATCCAATTATTGTATGTTGATGGGCTTTTGTCACCCTTGTGGAAGATTTGGAAATGATGAATTCATATGCATGGTCGACTATAGTTGCATCCACGTTGACTACTTCAATCCAGTCTTCATTAGGAAGTCCTGAGAATGTAACTGGATGTGTATTTCTTCTTTTGATAAGTAAATTGAACTAATTGAAATATTATGCAATCTATCTTTAGAGAATTAATTAATTTCAATTTTTTATTTTATAGTACTGGTTATGCGAGCACAATACCCTCATTTAACCTGAAGGAAAAAATTTGTGTCCAAGGCTCCTTCGACAGGACTTATCAACGTTGAGGAAAAAGTTGATGAAGAGATCATTGCAAACACTAAAGTCCGAAGAGGTATCATTTTTTCAATCTCAGCCTTACTGGTTTACTTTGCTTAAAATAATACTTACATAATAAAATGTTAGTCTTGAACAGAGTAAAAGTTTACTTCAAATTAGAATAAAAGTTTACTTACTATCAGAGTAAACTTTTAGTTTGAAACATAGTAAAATTTTACTCTGGTGGTTAAAGTTTGCTTCATTGCTGACTTCTTTTCTTTTTCTATTTTTCAAATGCAGGTGAATCATAATGAACTGAAGCCCATTTCCAGAGAAGAAATGAATCTCATTCGCAATGATGAGGAAGAAGATGTATTAGACATAGAGGAAAATTTGAAGACTGAAGAAGATAAAGATCGTGTAGCTGAAGCTTTAGGAGATGATCAAACTTTGAAGGACTTCATTGATCTTGGGAAATTAGAACGAGTTTAAAAAGAAAATAAGAGGCTGAAAAGTGAGAATATGGCATTGGTTGAAGAACTAAAGAAAATGTAGGAAACAATACAAAAAATACAAGAGGATCAAGAGGCAAAAACAAAAGAAATGATGGAAAAAATGAGCAACACAGAGAAGGAAATGGAGAAGCTGAAAAAGGAGTTTGAAGTACTCAAATCTGAAAATAAACAGTTGGTTGAACAAATTGAAGAAAATGCAGTTCATGCGACTACCCAAGCTTTTGCTTCTAAAGAAATGCCACATGATAAAAGAGTAGAACTAGAGCAAAACTTTGTGATTCAAGCTACATTGAAAGAAACACATGTAGTCATAGAGCCATTGCAAACATCCATGGTCTAGAAAATCAAAATCAAGGCGAAGAGGAAAAAAGAGATGTCTGATTTTGAATGTTAGACAAGAGAGGAAAAGAAAAAAAAAAAAAGATCACAAAACAAACAATTGAAGTGATATCAAATGAAGTGATTTATGTTGACAACTTGCCTCTAAGCCAACCAAAACCAATTGAAAGGGTTTTGTTTCCAGATAAGGCTGCAATATGCAAATTGCTAGATGAGAATGATAAGCATCTACCAAGCTAGATTTACAATTTGGAAACCAAAGAGTAAGACCATTTTAATTTTATCAAACAACAGATTTTTACTGTTATCAAACTGCAACATGTTAATCAACATTTTTTTTTACCTTATGACTAGTGCAATCACATGGTCCAACACAGGAAATGGTGTATATGTTACATTGCATGATGTGGATGCAATTCTGGGAGATGGTGATACTGCAAATAATGGAAGTGGCCATTCAATTTTCAATGACTAGTGTTCACTTCAATAACTAAAAATAGTTCATTTTATTAACATATATTTAATTGATTTTTGTTTTTTGAGGTCATTGATAGTTTTGTAGAAATGCTTCAAATTGAGCAACAAGCAAAGAAGTCAGAAAAGAATAAGTTATTCTTTTTCTCAAGTTTTTATTGGGTAAGCCATCAATTTGTGTTTAGTTTGAATTAATAAAATTTTACTGTGGTTTAGTGTAACATTGTACTATAGTTTAGAGTTAATTTTTACTATTTGGTTTGCCAAAGATTGACAACTCATACAATGTGTCACCAACACAACTTGAGACATGACACACTTATATGATTAAATGCAATCACTTGTGAAATGGGGTTATGGAGATTTGAGAAATCGTTTAATTGACCAAGTGCTTGAGCAAGATTTGAGTGGGTACAGATACCTTCACTTTTGCATGAACTCCAATGGGAACAAGAAGGAAGAAAAACCCTACCACTGGAACCTTCTTGTATTTGACACTGAATTTAATGAGTTTTTACTGTGTTTTATTCTTGTATTTAATTGTGACCAAACAATTATGCAATGATGTTAGATAACATATGTGGAGAACAAGTCGGCCAACAAAAGGAGGAGAGGTACAAGAAAGTTTGCAAACTTGGTTTCAGTGAAAGATAGTCCACAATAACGCCCAACATCGTAAGTATTTCACGCTACTACTACATGCTTGAATTGGTAATTTTCAAATTTGACTAAATCTAACAAGATCTTGATTTTTATTAACAGTGTTGATTGCGGAATTCTTGTATGTTATATCATGCGCCAAATCATAAGAGATGAGCCTATTGCAAATTCTATGGAAGAGAATGAAATTAACAATTTCTGAGAATCAATAGTGCATCAATTTTTGAGTGATTATCCAAAAGCATGGAGTGAGGAATAATTCAACCTTAAAAGAAAAATAGCCAAGACATAAGACATCGAGGACAACGATGTGGACAACTTTTGGGAACTACTATGAATGATGTGTGTAATTTCGGTTTTTGTAAATGAAAGAATGGTGAAAAAGTAATTGTAAGCGAAAGAATACTAAAAGAGTATTAGATAGTACATGCTATATCTATTGTTCTAGTAAATTTTACTGTGGTTTGGTGTTAATTCATTATTATAGTAGGATATTATTTTGACTAGGAATGAACGTTGTTATGGATAGAATACAATGATACAGGTTATACTTGCGTATCTTTGATTATATATGTAATTGTGTTATTAGATTATTTTGTACAAAGATTGCATGATAAGCAACAGGGGAGTTGTGTATTGTGGTAAATTTTTGTGCAGGTTGGAAATGTTTTTCTAAGAGACTAACTTACTGTCTGACAGTAAATGTTACTCTGAAATAAAGTAAAAATTTACTTTGAAATAAAGTAAAATTTTATTCTGAAATAAAATAAAATTTTACTCTGCATAAAGGTAAAATTTTACTTTTAATTTTACTCTGCATAAAAGTAAAATTTTACTCTAAAACACAGCCATAGACTACCATTCTGAAACATAGCCATAAACTTTCATTCAATAATGTAGTAAAATTTTACTCTGAAACACAGCCATAGACGACCATTCAACAATATAGTAAAATTTTACTCTAAAATAAAATAAAATTTTACTGTGAAACCACAAGCTCATCCCAACCATAGACAACCATTCAACAACATAGTAAAATTTTACTTTGAAAGACAGTAAAGTTTTACTTTCATGTGAATGAAGGTAATGTTTTACTCTGGAAAATGTAAAATTTTACTCTGCAATAAAGTAAAAGTTTACTCTGAAATACAGCAAAAATTTACTCTGAAAGCATAGGTTGAGCACAGCCATTTCAAACCTTCACACCTACTAAACAAACTCCATTAGAAGTTCATTTACATGAAACTTATTCAACCACATTAAAAAAAATATATTAAAATGTCAAAAACAGCCACAAAGAAAATCAAAAACTTGGATAGACAACCATTCAAGAACATACAAAAAATGTCTTTTATTGCAATATCTCCTTACAAGTCTAGTCTAAAAGACTATACTATTATTGCTATTGACTATTTATTGCAAAAGAATTGCATTATTTTCATACTTTTATTACAAAGCAATAATGTCTTTCATGGCAATGTCTCATTGCAAGTCTTCCTATTATGACCGTACTTCTCGCATCTACCACACTGTACTCGTCTTATCTTCTCACCCCTAGATAGAATCCTATTCTTCCTTGGCCTACCAGGTGCCTTCTTACAAATTGAAGGGACGATAACAAGATTATCCATAGCTACAAGAGGTTTCTCAATAGTGGGTATTGGATAAACAGACTCAGCATAGCAAGCTTTGAACTTGCTAATGTAATAAAATTGTTCCACATGTGCATACCAATCACCTCCACTTTTTTAGATAGTGGTCGCCACGTGATGTAACAATCCCGACCCATGATTGACGTTAATCTATGATTTCATATGTTTAATAAGTTATTAAGATCAAATTCTGAATTAATTACATGTGTGTTGTATTATTTGTTTTTATATCTGTTTAACGCAGGAAAGATTTGTTCATGTTTTCATTTCAGTTTACGAATTGAAGGCTTCGTCGACATCCGATTCAGAAATTGACTTGATTTATGTGTTAAATAGAATTTTTAGAATATTATGGTAGATTCAACTGAAATTCGATTCGGAACGATTTAATTAGAATAATTTAATGTCTAATTGAATAATTTGGTCAACCACTTAATTAAGCCATTACTTTAGCCTATATAAGGCATTGATAGACCCCTATTCATACCTTTACACTCTCATATCTTCATTCTTAGCGATAAAAACGTGAGAGAGGGAAAGAAAAG